TGCACCAATAGGTCTTTCCCACAAAGACCCAAATAGGTTGTTGGAGAAACACATTGCAATGTATTGCTGCCAAACACAAGAAAAGCTGAACTCACAAACTAAGAAAAATCGAGGGGCCGGCACCTGTTTGCAAGGATTTCACCCACAGAGCCCGGCCAGACACAGCCCGAACAGGGGGGCGTGGCTCCCACTTTCCATGGGCCCACCACTCATAGGAGGAACAAAGGAAAAACGAGGTACTTCTCTCAACTGAGGTGAAGGTGGCCTTTTTGTACATCCAAATGTGAAATAATATCGTTTGTACTTTCTGATGTCTGCGATCTGAACAAATTTGGATTAAAGCGCATGAACCAATTCTACTGTGTCACTACACAAGCTCCCCTCTCTGCTTTGGCCCACGGAGCCCGGCCAGACACAGCTCAAACTGGGGATGAGGGCTTTTTACTGGAACGGCCTCAAATTGCAGCATTCCATTCAATGGCAGCCATGGGCACATCTGTCTCTGCACCCCTAAAAGGGAGGACGGAAGGACAGGCCTTCGCTTACGGCCATACCACCCTTTACACGCCCGATCTCATCTGATCTCGGAAGCTAAGCAGGGTCGGGCTTGGTTAGTACTTGGATGGGAGGCCGCCTGGGAATACCAGGTGCTGTAAGCTTTTGTCCTTGTCTTTTGAGCCAGCAGAGGGTGCTGTTACTCACTCGCCCTTCTGAGAAACAACACATTACAGACCTCAAACAGTTACAACAGCATTTTGCACTTTTCCTTAACCCTTTGATGCATAATAGTCACTACAGTGGACAGGTACTCAAAATTGTTATTTATTTATTTTTGCTATTAAGCACAGCTGTTGAAGACTTTATTGCATTTGAGCCCCTCCATTTAGACTTCGGTAAGCCAAGCCAACACATTTCATGTTCAGATTGCACGCTGTCCACTGAGGTGGACATGTAAGAAATTATTTGTAAATTATAAAATTTTACAAAATATATTTGTCGAAATTGGTTTCATTCACACCTAAAGATGAATCAAAAAACTGTTAAAAAAATCGTGGTTGAAGATTTCATAATTCATGCATCAAAGGGTTAACACAGAAATGTCAAAAAGCCCATGGGGCAATCAGGTTTTAGAAGAGTGTTTCTTCTTCAATACGTTCACATTTTACTTCCCAAGTTGCAATAGAGAAAATCCACCTCATGTATCTGTGACTTACTTGCAATTCAGGGATCTAACTAAAGATTGTCATTAAGATTTCGTTCCGGAGCAAGGCTCTGCATCCTGCGGCCATGATGGCATGTCGCAAGTCTTTGCCGCTACCCTACCAGCTAAAAGAAATGTGGGACTTTTACTGGAATGGCATCAAAATGCACCAATAGGTCTTTTCCACAAAGACCCAAATAGGTTGTTGGAGAAACACATTGCAATTTATTGCTGCCAAACACAAGAAAAGCTGAACTCACAAACTAAGAAAAATCGAGGGGCCGGCACCTGTTTGCAAGGATTTCACCCACAGAGCCCAGCCAGACACAGCCCGAACAGGGGGGCGTGGCTCCCACTTTCCATGGGCCCACCACTCATAGGAGGAACAAAGGAAAAACGAGGTACTTCTCTCAACTGAGGTGAAGGTGGCCTTTTTGTACATCCAAATGTGAAATAATATCGTTTGTACTTTCTGATGTCTGCGATCTGAACAAATTTGGATTAAAGCGCATGAACCAATTCTACTGTGTCACTACACAAGCTCCCCTCTCCGCTTTGGCCCACGGAGCCCGGCCAGACACAGCTCAAACTGGGGATGAGGGCGTTTTACTGGAACGGCCTCAAATTGCAGCATTCCATTCAATGGCAGCCAAGGGCACATCTGTCTCTGCACCCCTAAAAGGGAGGACGGAAGGACAGGCCTTTGCTCACGGCCATACCACCCTGAACACGCCCGATCTCGTCTGATCTCGGAAGCTAAGCAGGGTCGGGCCTGGTTAGTACTTGGATGGGAGACCGCCTGGGAATACCAGGTGCTGTAAGCTTTTGTCCTTGTCTTTTGAGCCAGCAGAGGGTGCTGTTACTCACTCGCCCTTCTGAGAAACAACACATTACAGACCTCAAACTGTTACAACAGCATTTTGCACTTTTCCTTAACCCTTTGATGCATAATAGTCACTACAGTGGACAGGTACTCAAAATTGTTATTTATTAATTTTTGCTATTAAGCACAGCTGTTGAAGACTTTATTGCATTTGAGCCCCTCCATTTGGACTTCGGTAAGCCAAGCCAACACATTTCATGTTCAGATTGCACGCTGTCCACTGAGGTGGACATGTAAGAAATTATTTGTAAATTATAAAATTTTACAAAAAATATTTGTCGAAATTTGTTTCATTCACACCTAAAGATGAATCAAAAAACTGTTAAAAAAATCGTGGTTGAAGATTTCATAATTCATGCATCAAAGGGTTAACACAGAAATGTCAAAAAGCCCATGGGGCAATCAGGTTTTAAAAGAGCGTTTCTTCTTCAATACGTTCACATTTTACTTCCCAAGTTGCAATAGAGAAAATCCACCTCATGTATCTGTGACTTACTTGCAATTCAGGGATCTAACTAAAGATTGTCATTAAGATTTCGTTCTGGAGCAAGGCTCTGCATCCTGCGGCCATGATGGCACGTCGCAAGTCTTTGCCGCTACCCTACCAGCTAAAAGAAATGTGGGCCTTTTACTGGAATGGCATCAAAATGCACCAATAGGTCTTTTCCACAAAGACCCAAATAGGTTGTTGGAGAAACACATTGCAATGTATTGCTGCCAAACACAAGAAAAGCTGAACTCACAAACTAAGAAAAATCGAGGGGCCGGCACCTGTTTGCAAGGATTTCACCCACAGAGCCCGGCCAGACACAGCCCGGACAGGGGGGCGTGGCTCCCACTTTCCATGGGCCCACCACTCATAGGAGGAACAAAGGAAAAACGAGGTACTTCTCTCAACTGAGGTGAAGGTGGCCTTTTTGTACATCCAAATGTGAAATAATATCGTTTGTACTTTCTGATGTCTGCGATCTGAACAAATTTGGATTAAAGCGCATGAACCAATTCTACTGTGTCACTACACAAGCTCCCCTCTCCGCTTTGGCCCACGGAGCCCAGCCAGACACAGCTCAAACTGGGGATGAGGGCGTTTTACTGGAACGGCCTCAAATTGCAGCATTCCATTCAATGGCAGCCAAGGGCACATCTGTCTCTGCACCCCTAAAAGGGAGGACGGAAGGACAGGCCTTCGCTTACGGCCATACCACCCTGAACACGCCCGATCTCGTCTGATCTCGGAAGCTAAGCAGGGTCGGGCCTGGTTAGTACTTGGATGGGAGACCGCCTGGGAATACCAGGTGCTGTAAGCTTTTGTCCTTGTCTTTTGAGCCAGCAGAGGGTGCTGTTACTCACTCGCCCTTCTGAGAAACAACACATTACAGACCTCAAACAGTTACAACAGCATTTTGCACTTTTCCTTAACCCTTTGATGCATAATAGTCACTACAGTGGACAGGTACTCAAAATTGTTATTTATTTATTTTTGCTATTAAGCACAGCTGTTGAAGACTTTATTGCATTTGAGCCCCCCCATTTGGACTTCGGTAAGCCAAGCCAACACATTTCATGTTCAGATTGCACGCTGTCCACTGAGGTGGACATGTAAGAAATTATTTGTAAATTATAAAATTTTACAAAAAATATTTGTCGAAATTTGTTTCATTCACACCTAAAGATGAATCAAAAAACTGTTAAAAATTCGTGGTTGAAGATTTCATAATTCATGCATCAAAGGGTTAACACAGAAATGTCAAAAAGCCCATGGGGCAATCAGGTTTTAAAAGAGCGTTTCTTCTTCAATACGTTCACATTTTACTTCCCAAGTTGCAATAGAGAAAATCCACCTCATGTATCTGTGACTTACTTGCAATTCAGGGATCTAACTAAAGATTGTCATTAAGATTTCGTTCTGGAGCAAGGCTCTGCATCCTGCGGCCATGATGGCACGTCGCAAGTCTTTGCCGCTACCCTACCAGCTAAAAGAAATGTGGGCCATTTACTGGAATGGCATCAAAATGCACCAATAGGTCTTTTCCACAAAGACCCAAATAGGTTGTTGGAGAAACACATTGCAATGTATTGCTGCCAAACACAAGAAAAGCTGAACTCACAAACTAAGAAAAATCGAGGGGCCGGCACCTGTTTGCAAGGATTTCACCCACAGAGCCCGGCCAGACACAGCCCGGACAGGGGGGCGTGGCTCCCACTTTCCATGGGCCCACCACTCATAGGAGGAACAAAGGAAAAACGAAGTACTTCTCTCAACTGAGGTGAAGGTGGCCTTTTTGTACATCCAAATGTGAAATAATATCGTTTGTACTTTCTGATGTCTGCGATCTGAACAAATTTGGATTAAAGCGCATGAACCAATTCTACTGTGTCACTACACAAGCTCCCCTCTCCGCTTTGGCCCACGGAGCCCAGCCAGACACAGCTCAAACTGGGGATGAGGGCGTTTTACTGGAACGGCCTCAAATTGCAGCATTCCATTCAATGGCAGCCAAGGGCACATCTGTCTCTGCACCCCTAAAAGGGAGGACGGAAGGACAGGCCTTCGCTTACGGCCATACCACCCTGAACACGCCCGATCTCGTCTGATCTCGGAAGCTAAGCAGGGTCGGGCCTGGTTAGTACTTGGATGGGAGACCGCCTGGGAATACCAGGTGCTGTAAGCTTTTGTCCTTGTCTTTTGAGCCAGCAGAGGGTGCTGTTACTCACTCGCCCTTCTGAGAAACAACACATTACAGACCTCAAACAGTTACAACAGCATTTTGCACTTTTCCTTAAAGGTAGTAATTTCAAGTAAAAGGTCACTTTCATTTGAAAACACACACACACACACACACACACACACACACACACACACACACACACACACACACACACACACACACACACACACACACACACACACACACACACACACACACACACACATGTCACCAAAACATCTTATTACCATTTATTGTTTATTCTCATTAGTGTAGTTTTATTCGTCATATGGTGATCATGAAATGCCCACACATGTTATTTCTCTAAGACCTTCTGCTTTATTGCTCGGCGTGTGACTTAAAGGCAGCTCTATGCAGCTATTAATTACCTAGAATCACATAAAGGGATTTTTGCCTTTAAAGCATTTTATAGTCACCATCTATGTTACTAACAGAAACCAAACACCTGCGAATCACCACTATTGGATGCTTAAAAAATCTTTTATTCTTAGTCTCTTCTTGTATTCCATTTGAAACGCCTCTTGTTGCTTTCTCTTGTCCTCTGTCTTCCAACACCTCCATCCCTTCTTTCCTTCTCTGTCCATCTTTTCCTCCCAAATCGAAAACCAAATCCTCCTTTCTCACGACTGACAGCTTGAAGTCCTCCAGCTATGGAGGTCAGAGCATCGGTCCTCTTCCAGCCCTCCTCTCCTTCTCCTCCCTCCTGATAGTTCGTGCTTTCCAGAAAGTTTTCCCCTGGGAAGGGCAACAGTGGCAGGTTAACAAGATCCCCTCTCTGCGTCCTCAGTAGTGTCTCTCCTTCCCAACCCATCTCTCCTTCCTCTTCCTGCTCATCAGACTCTAGTAGGGCTTGCAGAACGTCTTCAACCCAACCAGGCAAGTATTTCGGGTGCCTGTGGTTCTGCAGAGTAGAGTGGAGGTCATGGAGGACAGATTCCAGCTCTCGCCTGTTCCTTAAGGGGAAAAAGGTGTTGGAGGAGTGGGGATAAGCTGTGACTGTTTGTGGGATGGGGCAGAGAAGAGCCAGGATGAGAAGCGAGAAATGTGAGGCACCGAGATATAAAGACAGTCTCATCTGAAAACAGAAATGAGTTTTGTTAACACATCTGAAGTCAAACATGTTAAAAAAAAATTCTTAAACTCAGGAATGAGAAGAAACTGCAAACTCAGCAAGAACTCAGAGAAGAAAAATTCCTACTTTTTTATTTCTTACCTTGTGCTGCTTTGGACGGCTTGCTGTATCTTTTGCGACATCTGTTGCTTCTGACCTTCTTAAAAACCGCCGACTTATCCTCTCCACTTTTCCATCTCCCATTGGCCCCTCGGCTCTCTGACGCACTCTGAGATATTAATCAAGTAAGAAAAACTTCATTCTTTCAGCCAAGAGACATGGACCCATTTCCAGCCGAAGGCGAAAATGCTGCGTTTAATTATGACTCCTTGTTCAATGAGAGGCGGGGGAAGGAAACGATTAATTAAAATGTTTCTGATATCAAAACGTATCCAGGTGAGTGACACGTTTCTTTTCTCGTTGTGCTCATTACGAAGGGCATTTTGCTGGGTACACATAAACACACCCGGAAGAATCTCATAATCATCCAGCAATACAATCAAACCAAATTATGCCTTTCTATGAATTAAAATACCATCGATTATACTAGAAACGGCATGCAGGGCTGCATGCGCATTGAGTGTGAATCATTCGATAATTTTAAGAAAGACTCAAGACAGGACGTTGATGTATCCACAAATGCTTTGTTATGGGTAAATAGTTGGAGCGATACCTGGAAGTGGTGCAGATAATTAAAATAAATCAAGAGGAAACTGGATTTTACTTATGAGGGTTGCTAATAAGGGTTTGAGCTGTAAAGGTTACAAATGATTCAACTTGTATACTGGTGAAGGAAACAAGCAGTCAAGACTGATGAATCTGTGTGTTAGGGATTTTATCAATCACCTAATACCTGCAGTCGGAGAGAAAAGAGAGACAACTAACCAGACAAGTTACTGTTTGCAATCAGGGCAGGTGTTCAAGCAAAGGTTTGAGGCGCACACTGCCCTGATTGCAAACAGTAACGTGTCTGGTTAGTTGTCTCTCTTTTCTCTCCGACTGCAGGTATTAGGTGATTGATAAAATCCCTAACATAATCTGGTCCTTCGAGCCAGATCTGCGTGCCTCCCAGCGACGTCAAGATCCACACACCGACCTCCCAGTGAAAGCTCAGCGCTGGAGGAGATTCAGGTTGTCGAAAGTTCTCTGGCATTGGCTCTTGGCGCCGCCAAGTGACCCAGGACCCCGGCTTTGAAGGACCAGATTATATTAGGTGATTAATACAATCCCTAACACTGTGATATGTTAATATGACTTTTCTCACAATTCAGTAGAAGGTAATAAAACTAAAATAAATCTAAATAGATTTAAAGCACTCCAATCGAAGTTAGACCAAAGTGTCATCTGCACATTGCGAAATATATAGTATATTTTCTTTAGACGAAGCCTCAGGGAAACAAAAGGTAGAAAACAAATTTGGGCCAAGATTAGAACCTTGTGGAACTTCTTATGTAAAATGGAAAATATTGCATGCAATAGGGTTGTTTTTAGATCTGAAGAAAGCTTTCGATACAGTAAACCATGAAATATTGATGAGAAAAATGGGAAAAATATGGTTTCAGGGGTATAGTATTGGACTGGATAAAAAGTTATTTATCAAATAGACAACAATATGTGCAAATAAATCAACATAAATCAGGACTAAGAGAGATAAAATGTGGGATACCTCAAGGATCAGTCTTAGGACCTAAACTATTCATAATGTACATAAATGACATTTGTAGGGTTTCACAAGTATTGAAGTTTGTATTGTTTGCAGATGACACAAATGTGTTTTGCTCTGGTGTGGAATTGCAACAGGTCCTGGATGTGGTCACACAGGAAATAAAAAAAATGGTTTGATGTAAATAAGCTGTCACTAAATTTAGAAAAAACAAAATTTATGTTGTTTGGTAATGAAAGAAGATACAATCAATTAGATATAGTAATTAATAATGTAAAAATTGAGAGAGTATATGAAATAAAATATCTTGGGGTGGTCATAGACAGCAGAATCTGTTGGAAGCCACATATCAAATATGTTAGGGGGAAGCTTGCATGGGGCATTGCTATATTGGGGAAAGCTAAGTATATTTTCAATCAGAAAGCACTTTATATGTTATACAATACGATGCTACTGCCATATCTGAGCTATTGTGTAGAGGTCTGGGGAAACACGTACAAAAGTAATTTACAAACAATAATGACAATGCAGAAAAGGGCTATCAGATTAATAATTGCAGGATATTTGGATCACACAAATGAACTTTTTATTAAAACGCGGACAATGAAGTTCCAGGACTTGGTTAAATACAAAACAGCACAAATAATGTATAAAGTAAGAAATAAATTAATGCCTGATAAAATACAGAAACTGTTCACAGAGAGAGAAGGAGGATATAACCTGAGAGGGACACTGAACTCAAAGATACATAAGTTTAGAACAACATTAAAACAGATGTGTATCACAATAATAGGGGTTAAATTATGGAATAATTTAGAAGAAATCAGAGTAAGAACAAATATAAATGTGTTTAAAATGAATTATAAAAAACATATTCTGAACAAGTATATAGTGGAAAATCGATGATTTATGTGGGTGTCCTTTATTCTAAGGAAAAATAAATTGTATCAATTGTAAAAAGATGTGTTTTTTTTCTTTTTTGTTTTTTTCCATATGGTTTGGTGGTTTTAGTTTTTTTGGTGACTTGTACCATTTTGTTTGTTTTAATGTAGGTTTTGTGTTAGATTTAGTAAACAAGTAAAAATTACTTGTATAAAGGGGTAGGGACATATAAGTTTCCACTTCAGCCTACTCCTTTTCAAACACAGAAGAAGGGATGATGATATGTATCTTTTCTGTTTGTGGTATTTAAAAAAAATTGTGTATGTTTTCTTTGTTTGAAATAAACTAAACTAATAAAATAAAAAGAAAAAGGACAAAACAGATGAGTGAAACATGCTTTTTCTGATACACCACAGGATTTATTATAACTTTCATTTTTATTGTTGCAAACATAACGTTGAAAGTAAAAAAAGCACACTAAAACAGTCAGTTTTGCAAATCGAATAAAACACAATGGCAGTTCCACCATCCATAGTTTATTAGTTTTGACTTTTAAACCCGTTGAACAATACGTATAATTAATTTGGCTTTCTCAATTAAATTACAATGTTGACATCGAACCAAAAACCCCATGTTTGAATTTGTATATTGTCTACTAACCCTATAGGTTAAAAAAGTCTACTTGTTGCTGCAGAACCATCAGTTAGCTGTGATGTGGTCTGAAAGTATCAATATCCCTTTCTGATCCTCCTTCTGCCTCCCCAAAGTCTCCTTGGGCCTCCAGAGACGCGATACACCCTGGTGCACTCTGGGAATAGTAGTCCGGGAAGAGCGAGGGGCTTTGCAGCAGCTGGTAAGATGACTGATCGACGACTGGGCAGGAAGACGGCTCGCTGAGTGGAGCAGTGAGCAGGGAGAGCTGCAGCTGGTCGATAGTGCTGGCAGGGAAATGGTCTGACTGGTTTGACGGAGAACAGGTTGTTACTGAGGAGGTTGTCGCCATAGCAACAGCTCCAGAGGGAGAGTTGGCCTGGGAGTCTTCAGAGTTGAGAGATCGTCTGAGTTTGGCTCGAGCGTTCTGAAACCAGACCTGAGGGGATGACAGAGGAGAGATAATGGAAATGACACTATTACCACAACAAATGATCGTACGATCAGTTTTAACCACACTAAAATCAGAAAATCAGAAAAAGTATTATACAAAAGTTCAGTTTTTTTATGGTGTTTAATTCAGATAGAAAGATCTCCGCCCTTTTTTTATTTTTAGCTCATCAGCGTCATTATTTCTAATGATTATTATAAGTTAAAATCTTCAGCATGTCAACAAACAGAAACGTTTTACTTGACTGATATTAACAACAGTTTAGACGTGAGGGGAGTTCAGTGATGTGGACCTGCAGGACTCTCTTGGGCAGGCCGGTTTTATGAGCGAGGCAGGTCCAATCTTTGCCATCAGGATTGTGTTTCTGAGCAAAATAGGACTCCAGCGCTCTCAGCTGCTCGCTGCGAAAACAAGTCCTGATTCGCTTGGTCCTCCTGCGGGTCCGTCCTGCCTCATCCAGTCGCGTCTCTGGACCGCTGCCAGACTCCTCCCCTTCACCTGACACCTGGATAGGACCTGTCTCTGACGTCAGAAGGAGGTTAGTTAGTAACCAGAGGTGTACCTTCAAGCCTCTTTGATCTCATGCTGTAACTTCTCCTATAGTGGCTGTGGCCCCTGCAGGTGCCTTTCTAATAGCAGAAACCTCGCAAACAAACAAACGCTTTTAATTGGCAAATTGTAGAATTGTTTTATTTGAGTTGTTTTCATTTCAACTTTGTTTATTTAAAATTGAAAGTATTAATTTTTTCATGTTTATTAGGTCTAGCAAATCTGATACAGCTAAAAATAAAATAAATCACAAGAATTAAACGTTTGGGCATCAGAAGGTTTCGAAACGAAGCAAATGGATCATGTTAAGGTGCATTAAAGTTGATTTGGAAACATGTTTTTCATAATCTAAAAAGAAAATGTAATACTTTACTGGATTTTCTTATTTCTGGAAGAGGCTTGATCATGGAAACACGGATGTTTTATATGCCCAGAAGAACTGAAACGACTCATTTGAAATCCTGATAAATATGTTTTTATAATCAATTTCTATTGTTTGTTCTTTAGTCTGTAGTAAATTATCTCATTTACCACTAAACAGATTTTAGTGAAACTCTCAAAAATGGATCAGATCTACAGGCGTCGGCCCAATCCAAGATGGCAGCCAGAGCTAATGAACTTTGCAAACACACAAATGGCTACAGTTCAGTCAACTGAGGTCAAATGTACTCATTGCTGCACATAACTATCAAACTCTCTAGAGGTTATAATGAAATTAGATTGTGAAAAATATTTTTTTTTTCAAGATTTGACCAAATGGTTGTCTTGGAGATGATTCTCCTGCAGAGACAAGTTCTGGTTTATGGTGATCACTTTACAAGAACTAACATCACCCAGAATTATTGTTTTGAAAACTAAAACCCAGGCCTGTTTAGCTAATCCTGACCCCGAATAAAACAGCTAACACTGATTTGTTTAGGATCGTTGCAGAGTTTGCTGCCCTCTTGTGGAAAAACTGTTCATAACTCTGGGTGATGATGCGTCCCACAGACACGAGGGTAGATGGGCGTAGGACCGGTGCGTGTGTGTGTGTGTGTGTGTGTGTGTGTGTGTGTGTGTGTGTGTGTGTGTGTGTGTGTGTGTGTGTGTGTGTGTGATGAATCTTTACAGTAAGTATACCCGGGCCTGTATTTGACTCAAGCTCATCAAGCTCCAGGCCTTTATTGGAAGGAGGACCAGAATTAGAGGCAGGCCTCTATTTCTATTTGAGCAAAATGAACTAATGGTTCGCTGGAGTTTTTGACAATTAAAATTGCGCCCACATTTTCAAAGTTAAACACATTTATTTTAACAATGGTAGTTTCTGCTTCAGCCCTCTCCCCCTCCCCCTGCGCAGCGGCCGCAAACTCACTGATGCGCCTGCAGCCTCTCAGAGTTCCTGCTGCTCTAAACATTAAAATAATTATTTCATTTTCTGTTCCTCACTTCTGATTACCTTCAATGGTGTCTGTTTGTTGCAACCACCAGGTACAAAAATGTATTTGTTTTTATTTGACTATTTTTCTGTCCTGTCTGTTTATTATCTTCCTGCATCTCCTCTCAATCCTAAAGAGAAACTGCTACCTGGGTTCATATATATTCATCTTATGAGTTACCTTTGAACTGCAGTTTTAAAAGATCTACCGACCGCAAAAACAGCGGAGTGCTCGCCGGCCACATCAGTTAGGTGAGTCACCGAGGACAAAACAGGTGATGCGCCCCGATCCACAGCAGCGAAACGCATCAGGCACAAATAAAAGTATTAAAAAAAACATAAAAGGAAATGAGCCGACATGAATGATCGCGTGTTAAATTAGTTTTTGAGGTGGCGACACCTGATTTGATAATGTTACTGTGGCCGTGCTCAGGACGCAGATGTCTGGAGCGCGTCAGCAATCAGAGCTTTGCATGCGCAATTTGGTTAAATGTCCATTTTACGGCGGGTGTCAGTACCGACGCTCTGGCACAGCGCGTTGCCTCCCGATGCACAGGAGCGTGTCACCTGCTGACAGCAGGCTGCTGTCTTTTCCGAGGACTGCATCTTGCCGGTCATTATCACGTGACAGCGACTAGTCGATGACAGGCATAAAAAGTCACTATCGAGCGGTGAAGTCGACCATTGACTAGTTCATACAACCCCTGCTACTGCTCCCCAGAGTGTTCTGCAGCATAATCAGCACGTTCTCTTTGAACTTGATATCAAATTTTCGCCTCCTCTTCGTCTCCGCATGGTTAAAGTTACCCTCGCGGTCTGTCACTGGCAAATCAAAAGTGAGACGATGACACAACCGCCCCCCGTACTTGCTTGTTACCACATTCCACCCGGCCACAATAAAAAAAACGGCCATTATTCACCTCCGCCGACTCCGACACCGGCCAAAATATGATACCCGGCAGTTAATTAAATACAGGCTAATATTAGAGGATTTACGGTAGTATAGTAGGTTCTTTTATGCTATGTCAGACATGCAGAACTGTCAAGTACATATGTGGCAGGAACGGCCAATCACACGTCAGCATATATCAGCAGAGCCAATAGATGAGCTTATGGACCGATCTAATGGAAAACAGGCTTGTTTTCTGCTTGGTCCTAGTGCTCAACCAGTGTCTATTTAATATAGCATAATATTGTACTTAAACAGTAAAAAGTGCTGGGGACAAAAATTTACTTTGGAAAAAGTGGGTGGGACATGTCCCCCCCCCCCCCCCCCTCAAAAAACTACATCCATGTATGAAACAGAAGATGTTATATGTCTTCAGTTTATCTTCAAACGTTTAAACATAATTAAATCTTTGCAACAAATGTGACCATTTAAACACTTTCCTTCAAAGGACATTTTACTTTGATGCACGCGTAAAAGTTTTATTGTGAAGGGATGAAATCTGACCCCAAATCTTCATCTAAAAGCGACTTTTATTTGAATCATGTATTTTCAAAAGTCCTCACATGAAGACTCTCACCTTCTTTCATGGCTGGCTGTGTGGAGTCATGTGGCACCAGGCTGCCCCCCTCAGCGTGATAATGCGCCTGACAGTACAGGTTTGGGCCCTGCATGCAGTAAAGGTTCCCCGGCATTAGTTTCACATCACATTCCTGCAAATAAATGACAGACAATCCATGCATTTATGTGAGAATTGTTGTAAAAAAAAAACAAAAAAACAAAGTTTTTTTAAAACCAACCTGGCAGGAGAAGCAGTGAGGATGGAAGGCCAAGTCTCCAGACCTCATGACCATGGCGGTGGGTGGGATCGGCTGGAAGCAGCGAGCACACTGACCTCCTCCAAAGATCCTGATGAGAACAGAAACCAGATGTTAGAATTTTATTCACATGTCAACAAAATAATGCAGAGAAGGGTTTGGACCTGCAGTAGTCCTGCTGGCAGTAGATGTTTCCATCCCTCCAGTAGAGCGAGGGGTGAGTCTGCAGCTCACACTGACACTGGCTACAGCAAAGGCACACGTTGTGCCACACCCTCCCAGCGGCCAATAGGAAGAAGCGGTCGCACACCTGCTCGCCACACCCAGCACAGATTATTGGCTCTTGGATGGACACGGCTGTTTGTACCTGAAAGATCTCAAATGTCACTAAACATATAAAGATGCCAGAAGGAATTAAAAGGTAGAACTCAGGTTTAATCATCACATTTTCTACTGTTGCAGCCTCCTCCACTGCTTCTTGGACTCCGTCTGACTTGTCTCCGAGGTCGCTGCCGTACAGCAGGTCCTCCAGGACCTGGTCATCTGGAGACATCATGATGGAGAGTTCTGAGAAAGCAGGGGATAATTATCAGCCTATCTGTCCTCAGAGAAGATGTTTCTATAAATAAACAGCTGACAAAAAAAGATGTAATAAAGTTTATTTTATTTTTCTGATTATCTTGTTACAAACCCTTAATAAAACAAAAACCTGCAATGACAGATTTTTGTTTATATTTCTTGACCGCCGTAAAAGTTTGATATAAAGAATATTGACATTATTTTCAATTTTCTAACAATTTTTGGATAAATTTACAACTTTTTTAACTTTAAAATGCAAAAAAAATGTGTCTTTCAGATAAAACAAGGTCATGATCTGTTTTTTAAGTATTACAAGAACATTCTTGAGATCTCGTTGTGAAAATAAAAATGAGATAAATAAAACATGTTCAAAACCCCTTTTTTGTTGCATTCAGAAACAAATGTGCAACAGAAATATGATAAATCCTACAACCAATTTATTTGCATTTATCAGACTTTTTCATTTATTTGAAATGAGTTCAGACGTTATTTCATTTTTACAAATATGAATTTTACAGAATAATTAAACCTTTTTTGGAAAACTAGGATTTGAAATAATTCTTTTGTTTTCATTTCTTTTGCAATCATTGAGCAGACTTGGAATTGCAAAAGGTGATAAAGTGATGCAGAAAAGTAAAAGACTTACCAGCCTTGTTAGAAGCGTCCTGATGAACGTGCTCTGTGTGAATCCCACAGAAATGATGTTTCTGATGAAAATGATGAACGATGAAAATAAAATCCACCTTTTCGAAGCACTCAGATTGTCCTCCTTCCGAAATCACCTGTGTGCTCTCGGCCCTCCAGGTGTCTCTGCACCCTCTCGTCTTGTGGTTTTGGGATCGTTTTCCCCTGACCTGAGATCCGCTGCTCCACCTCATCTTTGTCCAACCACTTTCCCAGCATCTGATCTGTCGGCTGTCCCAGGTGACGTGTACCCGTAAACAAGAAGCCCAGCTGGCTCAGGGAGCAGGCCAGGAGCGCCGTGATTGGCTGCCTGGTGAGCAGGTGAGTGTGTGAGGTGGGGAGCTTTACACGGGGGACCAATTAAAAGAACAAAAGGTGTTTAAAAGGACATCTGGGAACTGCACCTGACTCCTCATTCGGACCAAACTCCAGAGAAAACACAACTCTTCATAAACGCCCTCAAATTAACTGCCTAAAATAAAAACATTTCATAACTAGTTCACCATCACAAGATGAAGGGATATTAAAGTCTTTAAAGTCTGGACCGTGCAAATGCTGCTCCTAACAGCGGCGTGTCCAGATCTTTTAAAATGGGGTGGCCCAGGTGAGGCACAATTTTGTTCATGGGTGGCACCAATGGTTATGCTTTTTTTGTTTTACCCCCAAGCCTTTTGTGGACAACGAAAAGCCTATTTAAAGGTAAATTAGTGTGGTGGCACCTGGGGTGGCCAATCAGATTCCAAGGGTGGCATGTGCCACCCCAGGCCACTCCCTGGACATGCCCCTGGCTCCTAAAGTTTCTTGACAAATTGAAATTATTTAAGAGTTTGGCTGAAAAATCAGAAAGCTGGTGTGCCCTCAGAAGGTAAAGACTCATAAAAGAAATGTAATATTTTTAAACCATTAACTTATGATTCACAATATAAATAAAACTCTTTTCTTTATCCAATAAAGCAGGTTTATATTTACCCTGGCATCCAAATATGAGTCAGCACTGAAAAATCCAAACGACACAAATGTTGCATCGCTCACATTTATTTAGCATGCTAAGAATTTGTTACTTCCTTTGACTAAATAGGTGTTTACTGCATGGAGACCAAATTAGCTCACAGCAACACTCAAATCATGACTCATCGCTGCACAGCTGAGGTCAACTCGGGTTGTAAGCTGCAAAGCTTTTAAACTCTGAGTTTGTTTGTGGTTCTAAAGCTTTAAACCTGTTTAAAAGGTCAATACTTTGCACTTTTAAAGCTTTCATTCAGTCGTTTTTAAAAAAATACATTAGCAGTGGTTGTGAGGTAGGGATAAAAGCTCTGGCGCTCCCGTTTCAGGAAGGGGAGGTTAGCCAGGTGAATGGGGCAGAAAACAGCAGATTTGGAGACTTACTCATCTATCCATAAACCATAATTCTAAACTTTTAAAGCTTTCAAATTATTAATGGTGTCTTTTCTTACAAATAAAGTCTGAACATTAGTTAGTAATAAAGTTTTCTGGCTTTGTGCATCATCTTTGATATTTTCCAGTCAAAAAAAAGTCATTGGTTTGAGTTTTTTGTGTGTTTGGTCTGAGTCAGATAAATGTTCCAGAAAAAGAAGAAACAATGAAAAAGAAAATGTTTGCATCATGTGTTCAGCAGCTACTAGCCCATCTTCTTAGAAGAATGAGTTTAACATATTTAGTGTTAAATAAATGCAAAGTTATATTTTTCAAAGTCAGTTTATTGTTGTATTTTATTCTTTAGAAGACATCATACATATAAAATAATAATAAAATACAAATATGTGGACAAATAACAACAAAGCATCTCACAGAGGACAAACACTAAGAGGACAGGTGGCAGGCGAACCACAGCAGGTGCAGGACACCTGAAGAGTCAAGCAGTGACCAGCTGGGGGCGCTGCTAAGCTTTCTAGCACTGGGAGCATCAAAAACCAGTTGCTGGTTTCACTTCAGTAGAATTAAACCAGAAATACAAAACAGATTATTTACTTTTTACAATACAAGTTCAAAAGAATGTGTTTGTTTTCAAAACTGTCACAACAACTTTCTAAATATTCAAAACGACAACACTGAAATGCAGAACAGGCATGCATGGAGAGTAAAAATGACCCCCCGAGTAAAAGGGATCTAAACCTTACAAACACCCATCAGTTATTTTTATTTACAGAAGAAAATGAAGTCGGAGAACACAAACAGCTCTGGTCAGGTTTTACGTGAGTCAAGCTCCTTAATGAAGTAAAGCTGATGACTCCGCCTCTTGTTTGTCTGACGCAGTTCCGTTTAGGATCTGGATGAACGGTTCTCAGGCCTGCATCGGTTCATTTCTTTCTGCATTAACTTCTGGTTCTGATAGTTATAGTGACACATTTACTTAAATCTAAAGCAAACCTTCAGATAAAAACGTTTAGCTTTACTAAACTAGGATGCCATTTGTAATCACTTTACATCTTTATTTGGTCAGAGCTGCACCTTTCAATGTGTGCCTGTGAAAATATAGCTGAGAAGAAGAGAAATCTGTACAATCTACAGTAATATACTGATAACTGATTTTATACACATGGAAAAAAAAGTCTTCATCCTCTCAAAATGAGCACAACGTCCCCTGGTGACACACAAGTGTGTAAATCTTTCTCACGCTCATCCTCTGGTTGGAATCCTGAAGGCTGCAGGCCTCATCTTCATCTCCGTGAACTGGATGGAGTGGTCTTTACCTTTCCATGACTTCCAGATCACACCCTGACACACACACACACACACACACACACACACACACACACACACACACACACATACACACACACACACACACACACACACACACACACACACACACACACACACACACACACACAATTAATGAAGTGGTTCTCTCGTATTCGTCTAATAATTGCCCACCAACGTTTTGGACCATCCGGTTGTTGGTCTCGCTGACCCACCGCACTTCCCTGGGTCCTGCACTCATTACGCACTCACGTATATTTTACAACAGAACCCCACTGGTGTGAGGATGGACGTAATTTTAGGGGGGGACAGGGGGGACATGTCCCCCCACTTTTTTCAAAATGAAATTTTGACCCCTGCACTTTTTACCATCCAAAAACAATATTACCTTATATTAAATTGACACTGTTTGAGCTCTAGGACCAAGCGGAAAACAACCGTTTGTGTAGAATCCTGTTTTCCATTAGAACATACAGTAAAAGATACCCCCCCCCCCGCACTTCTAAAGAGGTTTGCTGCTCAATAATGTCAGAGATGGAGAAACAGCCAGCTGCTACCACTTCAACTTTCAGACAAACTACCAAAGTCCCAAAAAGAAAAGCACCAAATCATGGACAACAAAAGACATTTGGATCTAGAAAACAGCGACTGGTGTTTAGCGCTCTCTTGTTTCCAGTGAAGGACCAGTGAAGATACCCGAGGGGAGGGGTGAATGTTCTGTTAGCATGTTTTCATTCAAAACCCAGCTGGTTTGCAGATTCACTATAGCAGCTTTAACGATATTATTATTATTGTAGGAAATGTCTACAGATCTAAAAAAATTGCAAAGAATCAGCTGAAAACAATTAGCTTGTTAGTTGACAAACTGATCATTACTGAGTCATAAAATTGAGCAATTTCACATCGGACAGCACTCTGTAGCCCTCTGCTGACCAGAAACTGCACCTAACAGTTTTGTGGTTCAGATAGGAACACTAGCAATAGCTGTTTCCTCTTTCAGTAGCTCATATAAATGCTAGAAGTTAGCTTTTTCCGTTTGCTGACTGTCAACAAAAGCTCAAGAAAAAGAAAAACTATTTTGCATTTTAGTTGGCATCATGGGGGAGCCTGAAAGTAAAAGTAAGAGAGTGATATCCTTGGAAGTGAAGCAAAGGGCTAAAACCAGAGTGAACATCAGTATGACCTACACAAGTTAGAGGGAGCTAAAGGAGGCTATGCAATCATGGACTGATAGTGACCTGGCTTTGTTGCCACTAGGCTTGTAAGCAATATTTTTTGTCCAACAGTGTGGAGTTAAGCACCGTGACTTTGTGTTAGCGTTAGCTTTTTGTTAGCTATGCTGCAGCAGGCTGTGACAGTTGTTTATCCGCTTTCAATCAGTAGGAGGGAGAAGCATGAAATTTATTAAGTGTTACTTTACAACCTTACCAAATTCGGTACTTTTTAAGGTACCGACCGAATTCCATAGTACCGACCGAGCACCGATTCACGTCATTTCAAACGGTGCATCGTTTCGGTACCTGTCCATCATAATGAGAACTTGCCAAGACAGCTGCGCATGCGCAAGACCGTTTTGTCGTCGCTCGCTGCGAGCCAGTTGTAAACAGAGCAGCATGGTAGAAAGAACACACGCTAAAGCTTGGGTCCACTTCACTAAATGTGATGGGTAACTGGGTGATGATGAAACCAGCGGCAACGATCTAAGTGAGACATCCTCATCTTAATCTGCTCCGGTAGGTAAATATAATTAGCTTGATATGTTAGCTTCTGTTTCGCTAATGGTGCGTTCGCTTTCTCCTCGGAACTCCGAATTTCCCGACTAGAAGAACATGAACGCGCTCTAAAGTTTGGCTTCACTTTACTAAATGCGACGGGTGAAGACGAAACCAGTGACAACGATCTAAGTGTGCGGCATCATCGTTTTAATCTGCTCCAGCAGTTAAATAAACTGTTTAAGATACCGTTAGCTTGATATGTTAGCTTCCATTGCTACCATTGTTATCAGCTAATGGTGTGTTCGCTTTCTCCTTGGAAATTCTAACTTCCCAGTAGGAAAAATCAAATGAAAAAAGATGGCAAAAGGAATGAAGATACACAGTAAATTTAGTTCACAGTAAAGATGTTTGCTTCAGTTTAATTATCAGCTTACAAATCTACAAGGACGATGTTAAAATACAAACAGTTGAATGTTATTTATCGTGATATTTATCAAATATTGTTATATATTGAGAAAAATATATATTTAACTATAAAAGAGAATAAAAATAATAAATACTCAAAAGTATCGAAAATTGGTACCGTTAAGTACCGGTATCGATTCGTAGGTACCGGGAATTAGTACCGGATCGATTCAAATGTCAAAGGTACCCATCCCTAAGGTCAGATATGTAAGTAAGATTAGAGTATGCTGCTTCAGCTAGATTATCTTCTTGTTTCTTTTTATTCTTCTTATTTTCTTCATTATTCTAGTTGTCACTGTTTGCATGTATGTGTGTTTTTGTTATCTTTGACTGATGATCTTACTTGATGTTTATAGTCGATTCCGTAGAGGCCGTTCAGGTTTGCTGCATGGCAGTTCTTGTACCACCAGCCTCCTTGGTAGGAAATGGCGCAGCGAGTGATCCCCGGTATCGGGTCTCTGTCTTTGGTTGAGAAGATGCAGTTGTTGTGGTAACTCAGAGAATCTCCTGAAACCATAAAGTAAAAGAAACAAACAAAATAGGATTTGTTCATGAGCATATGTTTCCATCAAATCGGTGTGATTCCCATCTCACCTGCAGTTCCTCGGTACTCATCCACGGTCAGTTTGTAGTTCCTCTTGGCCACACTAAACATTGAATACTGAGCGAACACAGTCTCCCCTCCGTCTCGTAGGTCAACTCGTAGATTCATCTTCGTCATTGTTGTCAAGTTATGGAGAATCTCAAGACCTGAAGAAAACAAAATCTGATTATTCTGAGATGTGACCAAACAAGATCCAGTCCTACAGCAAGCAGATAACATCGGTCCAACTCAAATATACAGCGTAATTGCTTCATAAGGAAAGAAAAACACATTATTTTGTGGGACTATGAATGTCCTTGCTTGACTGACCTCTTCTGCTCTCATTCCCCCTGAATTTACTCACCAAGCCAGAACTCTCCACTCAGATCTCCAAATCCTTTAACATAATCGTTCCAGCCTCGGTAGAAATCCACCGAGCCGTCCTTCCTCCTCTGGAACACCTGCATGTAAGACACAAAGGTAAGAAACTCAACAGAGAATGAGTCAAAAAGCTTGAGAAGGATTTCTAATTAAAATTTTAAAAGGACTAAAATGGACTTTAAACTGAAACCTATCTTAAATATTATGATTACATATAAAATATTACTCAGAGATGTAACCGTACCGTCCAACCGCCACCATCCGTCTCCATGTCACAGTACACCATCACTGATTTTCCAGATCTCCCCTGAGGAAAGATCTCCACCACATCTGAAGTGAGGATGCCATTCAGCAGCTCCTGGGAGCAGTCGGTGGGGAAGGGGAACCTTAGCGTTCCTGAGGAGGAGTTTAAGGAGGGAGGATGATGGGACAAACTCTTTATCTGTTAATATCTGTGACGGTAATGTCAAACAAAAGAAGTACCTGTGGTGAATTTGGCAAACGTGTTGGCTATCAGTCGGTTTTCTCTTACTGTCCGTAGGTCCACACTGTACAAGGAGCCAGGATGAAGTCGGCTCAGCTTATACTGAGTTATGCTGGGTCCAACGATGATTTCCTGTCAGTGATCATAAAAATTTCAACAAAAGGAGAAAATTAGTGATGCACAAAGTCACAAAAGAAAATAAACAAATTAAAAAGCCATTACAAGTTTTAGCAATGCCACTTCAGATGGTGTTTTTCTTTTTGGGACTCTGGAAGTTTGTCCTAAAGTTGAAGTCTGAACAGCCAGCTGTTTGTCCTTCGGTGATATTATTAAGCTGCAAAGCTCTCACACCAGTGGTGTTCTGTTAAGTTCTAAATACACAAGTGTGTAATGAATGGCGGACCCAGGGAAGTACAGCAGTTCGGCCAGACTGACAACCGGATGGTCCAAAAGTTGCTTTTGGTCCAAAACGTGTTACTGGTGAACGTTTTTAGACGAATGCAAGAGAACAACGGACAGTTTTCGTCTTCCGTCCATCAGATGGGTCTGATGTAGGGTTGTCACGATACTAAAATTTCAAACTCGATTCGATCCTGGAGAAAAAACTCGATACTTGATTTCGATACTATTTAAAAACACCAATTTATTGAACACGTTTATTCAAAAAATAACATTCCTCAATTTATATTGCAAAAATTAAATGTTAAGAATTAAGTGTGTAAAGTGCTTAAACCTTTCAAGTATCAGCATTTTTTAAAACGTGCATACAAAAACTGGCGAAAGTTAACACTTTAAATCATGAATTGTCTCACTATATATACACTATTTGCAGAGTGATGTTTTGCTGCTTAAACTCTGTTTAAGGTGCATTTTTGTCATAAGATGTAATGCCATATGTTTTGTTCTGTACTTTTGAACAACTCTGTTGGTCAATAAAGGGAGAAAACGAATTTCTCCACAGTAGGACAAAGGTACATCTACCGGTAATCTTAATAAAAACAGACTGGCGCACGGCAGTGACGTCATTAAAAGCGCCGGTTAGATTAGCCGCGGCTAGTCTGTTCACGCCTAGAAATCCCAGACCCGCTACAAACGAACAGGGGAATCACGTTAATGATTCCTAACAAAACCTTTCGACATGAAGATGTTTTGGTGCAGATAATGTCTGATTTCGAGGCTGCACCATGGGTGCCTGTCCACACCCGTTATATGGATATACGCTGACGGCGATTCGCCGATGGATCTAAATACCCCGGGGAATCCAAATAGCACCAAAGTTGTCAGCGTGAGTAAACAAACGTACTGCATGCTAGAAATGAAGTCCGGGTTGCAATAAACGGGAGTTTTCCTTTAAGCACATAAGCGTGAATATACAACCACGTGTCGGACTTGGTATGCTAATGAAGTTGGGCTGTGAAGCGCCTCCCAAATTCGCTGTTTATGTTTTTGTTTATTTATTTGGCAGACAAAACTTGGATCGGAGACAACTCGCGTGGGAAATTGCAATGTAGCCATGCGGCGTCTTCTTCTTCTGTTTGTCTGGGAGGCGGAGGTTGCTTTACGGCATCTGGCTGTCGTGCGTGTCGGTGTACTTGAAGAAGGCTGTGTATAATAGTCCATAATATCGATACCACAGGGATGGAATATCTAATTTAGATACCACTTTTAGCATCGATTTATATCTAGGTATTGATTTTTTTGGCAACACTAGTCAGATGCATGTGTCTCACTTTTAATGTGTCAGAGTTGGCAGTCCTGATTTAGGTTCCCAGTCCATCACAGGTACACACAACTAGTCACACAGTCTCTCACTCTAGTTAACCTTTTGAACTGTGGGAGGAAGCCGACGCTCCTAGAGAAAACTCACGCTTGTAAGGGGAGAACATGCTAAGTTAGTGCAGAAAGACTGCAGCTGGGATTTGAGCCTGTGACATTCTTCCTGCAAGGCAAAGGCTTTCCTTCAAATAAAGCTAAGTTTTTATCACCTTTGGCTCTTCTCCTTCAGCTTTGTAGACCAGTATGTATCTATCTACTGGCTTCAATGATGGTGTCCAAGATATCAGAGCCGTGCGAGGGGTGACGTTCTTGGCCTGAAGGTCTTGTGCTCCATCTGTATCCTGCATGGAGCCTGTGGAGAAAGAAAGTTTCATTTTTATGATTTAGACTTCTGTTGTCCTCATTATTTTGTTTCTTTAGAGGCATTCTTCAGATGACTGTTGTTTTGTTTGTGTGTGTATGCAGTGTGTGCTGACCACTGGTGGTGGTGAAGCTGGTTCTGGTGGGTGAACTCTCTAAGCTGCCCAGCTGACTGGTGATGGTGACGGTGTAAGTGGTGGACCCTTGCAGACCACTCAGCTGCTGCTCAGCTGCATTTCCAGAAACGGTAACCCTGATTTCTGAACCTGCAGAGAAAAGGAACGCAAACATCTCAAAACTGGCTTTTTGTGATGGAACGCCATGTTTTGGTAGGCTGTTTTACTAGCTGGAAGAGGAAGTCACCTCCATCAGTGCTTACCTGTACCTGCACCATAGACAATGGTGTACTTATCAACAGCAACCAGAGCTGGACGCCACAGTAACAAAGCTTTGGTGTCATTGACATTCACTGCTTTCAGGTCTGTGGGAGGGTCAGGGACTAAGAAGGATAGAAAAGGTAAATTAACAATAGAAAACAGCAATATAACAGCTTTTGAATGTGCAATGCCCCTAAAAAAATGAAAGAAAAGCTTTCAAACAAAGACACACATTGTCACAATAATGGCTGTACTACTTTAAATGGTACAAAAAATCCCCCAAAAGTGATGAGTTTATCTAAATTAAGATTCTCCAGATTTACTTGGTGGATACAGAAACAGATGGGGCTAATTGTTGATGCCCCCTACAGATTAGGTCTGCTAACAGCCTTTCTGCCTATAAGTCTCTTTTAAAAACCTACCTTTTTACCCGTGCTTTTAACTGATTTCATCATTAATTTATTTTACCTTGGGTCTACTGGATGTTTCTCAGTGTTTTATCATTTTATTTTTGCTGCTTGTCTGTGTACAGCACTTTGTGCAATCTCTGACTGTTGGAAATGTGCTATATAAATAAACTTGACATTGACATTGAAAAACATATCAGACTATATTCTAATATTTTTGGTCATTTTGTCACTTTTGTATATTTTTATTGTAGTTCTTTTGTGTTTAAAACATGTTAGTTTCAAAGAAAAGCCTTCAAACTCACGAGTCACGACAAAGTCTTTGATTGGATCGCTCTCATCCAATCCGAGGGTGGAGATAACGCTGACCTCATATGAGGATCCAGGAGAAAGCTGAGACAAGTCGAGGGTGGAGTCCTCAGAGTCCACTGACACTGAAACTGGTTCACCTGCATGAAGGTTAAAGGAAATCAGTCCCTTTTGGATTGTGTAAACTCTAAAAACCCAAAGTGTTGTGGTCAAGCTGCTTTTAGGCTGGAGTGAAAATACAGTGATCCCTCGCTACTTCGCGGTTCGTTTATCGCGGATTCACGACTTCGCAGATTTTTTCTTTGGAGCCTTATTCAAGGGAAATTTGCCGAATCGCTGTATTTTTCACCGATTCGCTGCATTTTGTTACGCAAAATATCAAGAAATTCCTGGTTTTTTCATCAATTTCATCATAAAATGCCCTTTTTGTAATAAAACTATAAAAAAACCAAGTAAAAAATTTTTTTTCTTGAGTTTTACCCACAAAAAGAGAATGTGATCATACGATAATTCAATATAGTACTGTACTGTAAATATGGTGTCCCTACTTCGCGGATTTTCACCTATCGCTGCCAGGTCTGGAATGCATCTACCGCGATAAACGAGGGATCACTGTAGATATGATTACAATTTGAGTTATAAACCTAACAATGATCTTTTTTTTGCATATTTATATCATCTAATAAAAAAGGACAATAAAAGATTGACGTATTTTTCTTTCTTACCTTCATCTGCATGGATGTATGTGACTTTGAAACCGCTAACAGGACTTTTTGGTTTGGTCCAAGACACTGTCAGAGAATTTTCTGTCACCTTACTGAATACGATGTTAGATGGGGGCTCTGGGCCTAAAAGGTTCAACAAAGGCAATCAAAGAAGTAAAACTCGAAGCAAGCTGAACAATGAGACGAAAGTATGTTTAAAAAAGAAATCTCAACAAAAGACACAAAACACCACAAACAGAACAAGTATTCTATACGGAAAAGACAAACAGACAGATTTTATACAAGGGAACATAACGGTGACTCAAAAAGTGAAAATGATGTTTTCATTATTATTTGTTCATTCAGATGTTTATTTTAGTGTGCAATGAGTTTATGTATATATGCATGGTGCAAACATATATACAGTATACAAATAATATACTCAAACATTAACGATTATGCAGGTGATGGATCCTGGGCAGCAGCAGCAAAGGAGAAAACAAAACAATTAGCAGCTCAAGTCAAACCTGCAATTAAAGAAAGAAGAAATGAATGATGATGATGCAAAGAAAAAGATCACTTTGAGAGATTTTTAAAATCAACACAAATAATCAGACATTAGATGACAGAATGAAAAATCTGGAAAGTAAAGCTGTAAGTGAAAAATAGTGTTTATATTTGGGGTATCAGTCATTTAGAGAGTAACTTAAACTCTAGAAACTAGACTAGAGTAAGATTGTTGTAACTTGATATAGTAGAGTCTTTTGTTGTCCAAGATATGCAGAATTTTTTATGTTTAAGAATAATTTTATTGTCAAATAATACCCATGCCATAGTTTCATCCTGGAGAGTGCTGGTGCATTCTAATATTTGAGTCCAATAGTCCACCCATAGATTGCTTTCCTACAAGTCCATCTGAAAAGGTCATTTGAGCACATTTTACGTAAACTTCCAAACTGTATTTTGACTGGATTAACTAATGAAACATTTGCAACACTTAAAAAAAAATCTGCTTTTGCAAATGAAATCTTCAGTTGAAAAATCAGAGTGACCAAATTTGGTCTTACCCTGGTTTAAGTGAAAGATGAAGGGGTGTCAGTGAAGCTGACTGTTAGCCTGAATGAAAGAAAGCAGCAGTGAATGTGTGATATTATGTTGTTACTGTTGTTTCTTTTATGTCAACTCAGTACACTGTATGATTAGACCAGAAACATAGATTAGAGCAATTAAAATAAGGACTGTTTATGGTGATTCAGGCATTATACTAGTATGACCCAATATGAGGAGTTCTTCAAGGCTGAGTGCTCAGTCTGCTGTTGTTTATAAAAGCTTATGTTAGGACAAATTAAATGAAACAAAAATAAATAAATAAACGAATGACATGAAAACTATGAACTCACTTAGGGGTATTAAAGAAATATTTCTAATGTGTAAGTTGTTTTTTAAAGTCATGCTGATGCTAACCAGGAGTCATGGTTTAAAAAGCATTACTTCAGTCCTCAAAGGTTCAGACTTTTCCCCCCAGTCAGGTTTAGGGTCAGGGTTAATTGACTAATAAACTAATTTGTTCAAAGATAGTTACTTTTGAGTCCTACACATTCTGTTCTACCAATCAGTCATTTTCAAACCAGTTAAACCTAACAGTGCCCATGCAAATCTGAGATTTAACATCAAATATGTGGCTTTAAAGTAAAGAGAAATGTGGTTATTATGACATAATTCATGAATACGTGTACTCCACATATTCATGGAAACATCAAAGAAATAGTACACACACACAATGACACAAAACAAGTCTCTCAAAGGAAGTGTTTGACATCAGTGGGTTCAAAACGAACAATAAAAACATGTAAAAATGACAGTGAATTTATGTTCAGGTGAGAAAAACATAAGATGACAAATTTGAAACGGCCCATCTCAAAGCTTACAGCTTTCAAGAGTGCAACACTTGAGCGTGAAGCATTTCATGGAAAAGTGAGGAAGTATATGCCCAGTCATACTCAAGACAAGTGATGATTAGTTCACTGTTTTAACTCATTGTGAAGTATAGACGAAGACGGCGATTGACTTTTTCACACTGAACAGACTGAAACTTGGGTGCGGTACACAAAAGTGAGAAAAGAAATGAGTCAGTGAAACAAGACTTGACAACGTTGACAGGGAGGTTTCACGGTAGAGCAAAAATGTATGTTGTTTTAGTGCCACCATGGCTTGTACCTGTACTGATGACAAGCTTCTGCAGTCTGGACAGAAGGCCAGGACCTTTTCCAAGCAAGGTCAAGGTGTAATCCGTCTGCGGAGGCAGATGCTCAGAGTGGGAAGAGCCGGCACTGCTTGTTGATTGGGACACTGTGCTACCTTGGGTTTTTGGGGCTTGAGTAACAAACTCGTCAGGCACCCAGGTTTCATGGTCTCTGTTATTTGATGCTAACACTTTGATTTGTTGATCTTTATCTTGTTTTTGTGTATTTATGATCTTTTGTAACTCTTCACGTTTCACAGATTCAGTTCCACTACGAACTAACTTTTTGTTCTTTCCTTGCGGTGAGTCCCATACCAGTGTCAATCCAGCCGATGTGCGGTTTGTGACTCCGACAAAGTCCAGAGATTCTCTTGTGACTTCAGGAGGAGAAACTTTTGGCACCGTTCCTTTTGACAATTCAGTGTCAGTTGCAAATGAACTTTGCACTGGAAGATTTTTTTCTGAAAGCCCACCATTTGTTTGGGTGTCATGAAGTTTTTCTGTAACGGTTATTGATGAAGGTTTTCTCTTGGGTGCTATGACTGGCCTACCTTGATTTGCAGCTGCATTCCTGCTGGGCTGGTATTTGTCCATGTGGCTGTCGGGATCGGTGCCTGTTTCTGCTTCAGTCAGAGGTCTGCCTCCTTTATCCAACTCTTTTCTCTGTGTGTTGATGGCAGTTCTTTGGCCATTTGTGATGGTTCTTTGGGTTAAGAGGTAATTTCCCTGTTCTCCAGACTGAATAGATGGGAAACCTTGAAAAGACCTGTGGACATTCTGGTTTTCAGATTGTATATGAGGGTTTTGAAAGCGACTGTCTTTATCCATTTCATTTGTTTGACTTCTGGGATTTAAGTTGCCCAGATTTTGCTTTCTAGTTTGGAAGAACTTGCGTGTAGGAGCTCCATGTGGATACTGACGTCTCAAGATTGTAAGAGTTTTGTTTTGAAAAGATTGACCATGTAGACGTGGTTGACGGAAGGTCGGGCGACGAGAAAAAGCCACGTCCCTCCCCCCAGTGGTCTGATGGAAATGATTGGACAGCTTTGTCCCTACCCTGTCTTCGTTTCCTTCATCTACTGGACCAGTGTCAGATGAATGGGTATATTTAGAAAAAGAAGAAGACAAGGTTGGCATTTGAGTGGGAAATGATTTTGGTTTATGTGCATCTATTTTAGGACTAATTGATTGGGATGGCTGAGTCAAGTGCCGTATATTAGGATGGGTTTTATTCTGGGAAGTTGAATAACGCTGACGTTGGTGACTACCCCTTAGAGAAGGATGTCGGATAGGGAAATTTGCTCTTCCCCTCTGTAAAGTTTTGGGGCGTTGTTCAATCAAAGAGGGTACAGGTGATGTTTTTGCATCTTTGTTGCTGATTGCATCTTTTACAGGTAAAGTTACATCTGCCTCTTTCTTTGAGGTGTGATTCAAATAATTGGGGGATTTGTGAGAAATTCTCAGAGTTTGACGAGTTTTATTTTCAAAGTTTGAGGATGGACGACGTATGAAACCCAGTTTTTCAGTGATAGGGTCAAGTTCGTTGCTCCCAAGTAAATCCAATTCCTCTGAAATGGATGATGATGATGATGACGATGATGATGATGATGATGATGATGATGGCGATAAAGAGGAGACTGATGAAGGTGGTGCTGAAGTAGTTGATTTTAAATCTGAGAGAGGTGATGAGGATGAAATCAAATACGTTAGTAAGGATGGTGGTTTAACTGCAACAGATGAGCGAGATGAAAATTGTGAGGTTGATCGGAAGGTTGACGAGGATGAGATTGAGGCCAGTGGCTTTAGTCCTCTTAAAATCTGAGTGCTCACCTTTTCTGCATCAACTGAAAGGTTTAAAGGTCTGGACAGGTGAACTGAGATCGTGGTGATATTCATGTTTTCAAAAGTATCGGTTATGAGTTTGTGTAAGGGATCTGGTGCATTGTTGAGAGCTGTCTCTCCACTAGAGGGTGCCTCACTTGGATTGGAGTTTAATGTGTTTACTTGCAACCCCGTTTCCTCTTCCTTGCACTCGTGCACACATTTTACATCTTGGCTTTGCATATTCCCAGTTGTCATCAGAGACACTGAATCCATGTCACTTTCTTTCTTTGCAAAGCCAACATCTGGTTGACTCTTTGAGCCGATAGTTGGTTCCTCTGAGCCACTTTGTCGGTATGTTTCAGCGTTATTGCCTGTCATTACAGCTGGGTTTTTGTCATCTCTTCTCTCAAAGCGTGAGATCTCCTCATTGGGGTCTGTCATAGACTCCCTGCTGGTATGGACATCTGGAGTAGATTTTTCAATTTGAATCTCCTCTCTCTTGTTTGGCATCATTGGGATTCTTTGTCTAAGACCAGGCACATGAATTCGTTCTCCAGGCATAACCTTAGTCGCATTGAAACGAAAAAAGCCTGTGAATTTTGTAGGCCTTCCCACATATCTGGGTCTTGTACCATTTTGTGTCACCATTTTGCTAACCAGTGGTTTAGTTCTGGCTACTATAGTTGCTGAAGACTTCCCGACTTTTACAGAGTCAGCATTGCTCCCACCCTGCTGGTCAAATGCTCCAACCTTGGGCGCTGGATCCAATTCTTGGTCCATACCGCCAACATCTTGTTTTGGGGCTTGCATGACCTTGATGGTCAGTTCCTCTGCAGTAACCCTTGAGAAAGTGTAACCTAAAGATGTGAGAGGAGTGAGCATTTGGGTTAAATGTTAGGTATTCTCTCTCAGTAGTAATTAATCCTGATCTCTAACAAAGGAAGAAAAGCAAGTTTAATAAGTATAAATATTCGTTCAAATAGAAAGATTAAGATTTTATATTTAGGGTATTTTTCAGTAACAAGAAGAAACAACAAATAATGATGATGGTGACTGTGTGGAACCTGCAAGAGAAAACTGATGGAGGATTAATGTTTCGCTTGTTCAAACTTGGCATCTGTGTTTCTTGTGGGGGAGAGAATATGGCTCAGCTCCGCAGCAGATGTAGAAGTTAGGGCATTACTTCATTAACTTTTACACACTTTACTGTAATGTGTTTTATACGATGTGGTGCTGAGTATATGAGGTGTGTGGACACGTATAGGTTCACTTAGCAGCAGCACAGCTGCCCTCTTTTGGCCTAATATACAAACTTTTGATTCTAGGAGTTAATCTGACAATGTTGCCATGGATTTAAACCAAATGTCCCTCTGTTGAGATTGTTCATTGAATAACTAGAAATGGTGTGACCACATGACTCTCTGGGTCTCTGATTGATACATTTCCTATACTTACCAGGTACTACCTGGGTGGTAGCTGGCTGGCTATGGACCAGGCCCTTCTCCGCCACCAGCAAGACGTCGTACAAACGTCCCGCTTCCAGCTGCTGAATATGAGTTGAGGTTTGGCCAGGTGGTATGATCATTCCTTGACTCTGCCCTGCTCCATCATTGGGTGTGACGGTCAAACGGTACCTGTCAACCTGCCCCTGTGACGGTTCCCATTGAACAACTGCTGATGTGGAAGTTGTCTTGACAACTTGGAGGTTGGTTGGACCAGAGATTACTGAAGTTTAGAAAGATGAAAATAAAATTTTAGGGAAATGTGGAAAGACTCCTCCACACATTTTAACTTCACTCAGCCCCCTTGGCATTACTTCCCCCAAATTCATGGTCTCACTCAGTCTTCCTCATCTCCTTTGGACCACGTCCCCGGAGTTATTAGATTACATCTTTCATAGTGAGGCAGTAGGAAATCTTTAATCAAATTTTGCAACATGAGCTGATCTCATGTGCCAACAGGTTAGTCAGAAGTCCCTTTTCCAGCCAATACAATGTAAACTCCAGTTCTATACATGGGAACATTTTAGATTTGTTATTATTACTGCCAACTTTAATTTATGTCTGATTTCATCTTCAGCTACACTCAATCGTGCTTCTTCAAAGCATCAATACAAATCAAGATTAATGTTGGGTATTTTGTATTATTTAATATTTAAAGATACATTGTGTAGTTTTTACCAATAATTTCTGGAAATATCCATCAAAATGTTGAAAATGAATGAAATTATGCCCAGTTGTTGAAAAATATTGGCGGCTTCATGACATATAACCATAAAAATTAGGTCTAAAATACATGGGAGCGGGTCTAAGTCTCTAGGCGACGCCCTATTAGATGCCATGTTTCCTTCTACGGGAGCCCATGAGGACAAAATGCATGTACTGATTTGTAACAAACGGTTACAAAACTTTCGTCATCCTTAGATGTTGTTGTTTTACACATTTACCTCTTCACTTGTTGCCAGTGATGAAAGGGAGTCTGATGTGCTTGTTATTTTGCTGATGTTTGGACTCCCCAGGGCTTTTTGTCCCTAATGGGCATCCCTTGGTAAGGTCTTACTCCAACACAAAAATACTGCTTGCTTGCAATGATTTAGGTAGCTACTGCCCCCTATTGCCAGAATAAATACACACTGTCACTGTAAAACAAAGCCTTCAATTAAACTAAGACCATGTTTGGTATTAAACTTCTTCTAATAGTTAAGATTTTTGCTTAAACTGGACTAAAATATGACAGCAAAGTTACAAGTAAGTGTTATCTTCAATAAACTGAAAAAAATTCAAGAATCTCACAGGTCATGAATTCAGTCGTGCTCTCAGCGCCCCTCCTGCCACTGATCTCTCCCACAATTGTGGCGCTGTACTCCTGACCAGCTGCCAGGCCCGTCTGGGTGAATGTGGTCAGGCTTCCTTCTACCTGTGAGGTTATCTGCTGGTCATTCTCTTTCTGTGGAGTTCAAACCAAAAAGAAAATAACAGTTGTTAAAGTCTACAGGGATTTATGCCCAGATGTCAGTGGGGAAGCTCAAATCAATCCCTTGCATAAAACCAGTTATGCACTATTACAACACCCTTTTAGCTTTCAGTTCTGGTAAATAATGAATTTAGTTGCAGTAGCTTTCCAGCAACATATATATATATATATATATGTGTGTATGTGTGTGTGTGTGTGTGTGTGTGTGTGTATTGTTTTTAAATTTCCTTTTGAAAACCTGTAGTAACTGAATTTCTTCTGATAAGAAAGGTTGAGATTTCCTGATGGAGATGATAATAATGGTGATGTCCATTTCCTTTAGTTAAATGAGAGTCTTCAAATGCTGCTCATTAAATTGATGCTTTCACACACACACACACACGTAGCCCTGAATTCTGATTATTCTAATCATGAGTACAATATGTGTAAAATCAAAAGCTGCATCTTATTAAATGCTCTGCTGACAGCATGTGAATGGTTACCATGCTGTGCCTCAAATGGACAACAGCTGGTTGTTATGGTGGTCACTATTTTGGTTGCCTGGATCAGTGTACGTGTGCCAGAACACTTTCATTAATTTCCATCTGAATGAGGGTGACATCATTTTAGTTGAATCTTTGGATTATACAGACCCCGACCTTATGGTGTGCTGACGATATGGGGGTTGAGCGTTGACCGGGTCTTGGAGCTACACTGGAAAATAAATCTTTAAAGCTACACTGTCTCTATGATTAATTCTAATAATATGGAACGTTAACACACTTCAACTTTAAGTGAATGTGTATCAATAATTTCAGTGAACTTGACAGAAAACCCTTTTTTCATACAAAATCATATAACAATCCTCATGTAATAATTAGCAAATATTTTAATTGTTCCTAATTTATTGTTCCTATGCATCAACTAAAAAGAGATGACCTCAAACTAATATTTCTACCCCATATGAATAGTACTGCTCAAAAAAAGACATTACACTTTAGTGGTATTAGCCAAGGTAGTCTAGGATGCTTGTGAAGGCTTAATGTCTGTTTTGCTGCTACAGAAGAAATGACTGAAAGGCAAATGATAACAGGCAACAATAAACGGAACAATATAAAATATGGCATAAAATAAAATGTGGTGAAAACAGAGCAGAGAAACTTTCAGAATTTATAGCTGCCAGAGCCAGCGTACTCAGACGAACAAATATAAAATGCTTTCAGAGAAAATTACTGAGTGGAGATGATGGTTACGCCCACAGAGAAGATGAAGTACATACAGATGTACAAGCAAGCGGATATTTATGCAGCGAAATAGCATTGCACTGTTGAATGATAAATAAGCAGGGAGGAGAAATTCTAAAGTTCCAGCATGACATCAGCACCATTTTAGAAAATTGTTTTACGCCTGTACATTTTCTGTATTTTAGGGTAATGACAAAAGAAATAAAACACCATTACATTCTAACTACACAAACATTTTGATTACACTCTACTAACAAAGCATTTGTTAGTAAACTGACCAACCAATCAACCGACATACCGACTGACTGACCAACTGACATATCAACTGACTGACCAACCGACCAACCAACCAACCAAATGACAGAAAGACAGACGGACCGACCAACCAACCAACCAACCAACCAACCAACTAACCGACATATCGACTGACTGACCAATCAACCAACCAACCAACATAAAAACTGACTGACCAACCAACCGACCACCTGACATATCGACTGATTGACCGACCAACCAACCAACTGACAGAAAGACAGAAGGACTGACCAACCAACCAACCAACCAACATATCGACTGACTGACTGACCAACCAACCGACCAACTGACATATCGACTGATTGACTGGCCACACAACCAACCAACATATTAATTGATCGACCGACCGACCAACCGACATATCGACTGATTGACCGGCTAAACAACCAACCAACATATTAATTGACCGACCGACCAACCGACATATCGACTGATTGACCGGCCACACAACCAACCAACATATTAATTGATCGACCGACCGACCAACCGACATATCGACTGATTGACCGGCTAAACAACCAACCAACTTATTAATTGACCGACCGACCAACCGACATACCGACTGACTGACCAACCAACTGACATATCAACTGACTGACCAACCGACCAACCAACCAACCAAATGACAGAAAGACAGACAGACCGACCAACCAACCAACTAACCGACATATCGACTGACTGACCAATCAACCAACCAACCAACATAAAAACTGTCTGACCAACCAACCGACCAACTGACATATTGACTGATTGACCGACCAACCAACCAACTGACAGAAAGACAGACGGACTGACCAACCAACCAACCAATCAGCCAACCAACCAACATATCGACTGACTGACTGACCAACCAACCGACCAACTGACATATCGACTGATTGACCGGCCACACAACCAACCAACATATTAACTGACCGACCGACCGACCGACCGACCAACCGACATATCGACTGATTGACCGGCTAAACAACCAACCAACTTATTAATTGACCAACCGACCAACCGACATATTGACTGACCGACCAAGCATTCAAACGACATATCGACTGACTGACCGACCAACCAGCCGACCAACTGACCGATCGACCAACCAATCAACATATTACCTGACCAACCAATCGACCGACCAACCAACCAACCAATGACAGCCATTCAAACTAACCAGTCTTTTGAATGGCTCAGAGGTGAACAGTACCCAAATGAATGGCTCCCTTTAAAGAGGTATAAGTCCCATCACTACAAAAGGCTAAAACCAGTAACTTGCTTTCTAAATATTTTAGAAAGTCCATGAGTGGATTTTAAAAATAAGTTTCTTGAAGCATAAATGCAAGTTGTTTACTGCTCCTCTAACCAATCTGATGAATTTGATGACGTAAGAAATGAATTTGTTTTTTAAAATAAAGCTTGATGGAGGCTACTTTTGCAAATACATCATTAACTATTTTTTTAATTATACCGTCATGTCTCTTTTTAGAAAAATTCCCCAACCATCTTTTCAGAAAACTGTATTTTGAGTGTGTTAATCTCCTCCAAGGAAATACTCTGAATAACAAACCGGTGAGACATCTTCCTGTTGCAGTTTGCACACTCCTCTGTTTAAAAACCCAGACTGATGCTGTAACCTGGAGACATTAAGCAGTAAACAAGGTCCATTGTGTTCACGTAGATAATCTAAATGAGGCAGTGCAGCATTTGAATGCTCCTGATGATCGGCTGCTGACATCACATTGTTTACCAATAAACAATGCATAGAGATTATTTTCTTTCTCTCTTTCAATCTGTCTGTCCGTTTGTTTTATTGTGACACAGCTGTGCCTCCATGGTGATGTCATCCTTTTGGCAGCAGCCATGTTTTTGACCGTGTTTACACATCTCCATGACAGCAAGCATCGCACATCTGCATCCTTTTTCTCTGAACAAGTTCACTTCACTCAATGCTCTTGTGTTTGACCACACTCGGGGTTAAATCTCTGAAGTCTGCACTGCTTGTTTGTCCTTTTGCCTCACATCTTAATTATTTTGTAAAAGTAGAAATTGTAAAGAAAAAACATGGAGTTCTGTCATTTATTTAAAAACATTACTAAGCAATGCATTTGCTGGGGATTAGTTAAAATCATTCAAAAGCAATGACTGCAGAATTTTGAAGATGAAGCCATGGGAATAAACTTTGATTTCCAAAATTGCACATTTAAGTTTTTTCAGAGTGTCGTGGGATCATTTGAGTAGCATAAAATTTTTTTTTGCTCTTTTATGAATTTCTCTATTGTCTTAATTTACCTTCACTTGATGGCAGAAAAAGTGTATTAATCCCAAATCTATTACAAAATGCCAAAGATCAACATTAAGAGCAAAGTGTGTACACAAGTGTAAACTGTAGGCAAAAGTTAGATTCAGAATGACTAGATCATTACATAGAGCTTAAAGTTTAATACGGGTCTTTCTTATGCAAAGATGCTGATTTTAATTTTTTTTTTTTGCCAAAATACCAAATGTTTCAGATTTTTCTACTATACTTCTAGTCACATCCATCCATCCTTCCATTGGAATAGCAGTAGCTGGTAGAGCGAGTTGTCCAGTGATCAGATGGTTGCAGGTTCGATCCTGCCTCTCACCAGAGAATGCTGCTGTTGTGTCCTTGGGCAAGACAAATAACCCACATTACCAGCTGATGGTGGTCAGAAGGACAGGTAGCGCCAGTGTTCGGCAGGCCTCGCTTCTGTCAGTGCACCCCAGGGCAGCTGTGGCTACATTGTATCTCATCCCTACCAGTGTGTGAATGAGTGAATGGCTTATTGTGTTGTGAAGTGCCTTGGGGGGTTGTAGAACCCTAAGAATGCGCTATACAAATACAGGCCATTTAACATTTACCATCCATCCATCCATCCACCCACCTATCTATCTATCTATCTATCTATCTATCTATCTATCTATCTATCTATCTATCTATCTATCTATCTATCTATCTATCTATCTATCTATCTATCTATCTATCTATCTATCCATCCATCCATCCATCCATCCATCCATCCATCCATCCATCCATCCATCCATCCATCCATCCATCCATCCATCCATCCATCCATCCATCCATCCATCCATCCATCCATCCATCCATCCATCCATCCATCCATCCATCCTTCTATCCATCTATACATTTACCCATCATCCATCCACCCATCTATACATTTACCCATCCATCCATCCATGCAACCATCCATCCATCCATGCAACCATCCATCCATCCATCTATCTATCCATCCATCTATACATTTACCCATCCATCTATGCATTTACCCATCCATCCATCCATGCAACCATCCATCCATCCATCCACCCACCCACACATCCAACCATCCATCCATCCATCCATCCATCCATCCATCCATCCATCCAACCATCCATCCACCCACCCACCCATCCATCCATCCATCCATC